CCTCACAACAGCTGGCAAATCCTGTTTTGAAAGATAATGCTCGTATAAAGCGCTAGAGAAATGTAATCCCTATGGAAATTCGAAAATTCATTGGCGTGTACTTGTTTAGTTATTGGAAGAAGGTTGGCTCGGTAATACCACCTATCATTAACCAACGTCACAATGTCCTATAGCAGATTTGCTCTTCTGTAGAAACACTGATAATTTGACACAACCAGAATCACGGTGTTGGGAGGCAAATCTGCAACATCATTACCTTCATCTATCAATAGAAATTCAGCCGTAGGGCTTCATAAACTGATAAAATTACATAGGCAGCTGAACGGAACAATCTATAGAAACAGGCCTGCGACACCATTCGCAAACCTGCATAAAGTGTCGGACTGCCGAGCAGGATAGTGAATGGGCCCCTTAAAACGCTTCAGTATTTGCAGTTGCCAGTTGCAAATTTTATCGCAGGGGGGCCAAGTTTCACTTAAACCCATACGGCCGGTATCAATATTCTATCTACTGATAGATTTGGTTACCGGAGATAGAATTTTGACCTAAGTATTATGGAGCTAATGTACCTATCGCTGTTAACCAAATCTGTCTTTAGATAGAATATTGAAACTTTTTTGTGACGTGTAGTTTGCTGTTAACCTGGTGGCTTTGACAGCTTCGGCGGAAGCAGTGGACGCAGAGGACTCGCGGATTTGGGAGAACTATGAGGCTGGTGCACTACGACAACACGATGAATATTTACATGAACTATTGTTAATGAGAATAATTACCAGTGAGAATAGTTAACAGTGTTAAACAAAGTTAACAAAAACCAATCATTTACGAAAATATCGTCTACAAAATAAAAGGTTATACAATTGATCACGCAACGGGCTTATTAGCGCATGTACACTCGTCATTATAAAGCGTGTTTTTACAATCGCGACAATAAATGAACACACATATAGAGGATAACTTTTTAAAATTGTATTAAAAATTTACTTTCTTTAAACATAAACATTTACAGAGTTATTAAATTTTCCAAAACAAAGATTTTTAGAACAGCCTTACTTATAAAACTGTAAAGGAAAGTTCATTTGTAAATGTCACAAAGCATATGAATGGGTTGAATGAATTTAAAAGAGACAAAACATACTGTTAGAAGCAGAGGCTTGTAATGCGACGCTGTGGCAACGAATGATAAAGTCTCTGAATGTATGAATCAGTCAGTTGTAGTTGCATAGGATGTTACAAATTTTGTTTCTTTTTTACTTAATTAGTTTGAAAAATATTTTTTTTATTGTGGATTTTTTTTAACGTTAATATTTTTTTATGATTATTGGCAAGTATCGTTAGACGTGTGTTCATTTATTGTCGCGATGGTTACGACACGCTGTATAACAATGACAACACGACGTAATGATTCAAAAACGATAAGCACACGAGTATGTCGCGTGTAGGTCGTAAATCTGGGACCTCAATATTAAACCCGGCCGTTGACCCTACTTCCCGGGGAAAAATAACTCATCATCCAATATCATATATGGATGCATTCTCATACATAATCAAAATATATACACAATTCGTGTAAAATTAAATAAACAGTAATATTACTTTAAAACACATTTAATTTTAAACGATGCAGATAAACATGTTCCTAGTGTCAATTTTTATGGATAGTAAAAAAAAGAATGTCACAAAGACGCTGAAATGATGTCGAGTAACGATTCGAAAAATATAAAATTAGGTAAATTTTACCCGTAAAAAGGTATTTCTTGGTTATACGAAAAAATTGTCATCTAAACATCTATACTGTTGACATACATACATGCAGATAAATAAAATTCGAGAGTCTGTTTGTAATATTATAATAACCGCTTTTTAGTAAATGAATATGAGTACTCAACAGACGATCGAAACGCGAAGATTTTTTTAATGACAACAGGAAGAAAATAAAAAAGTATGTGCGTACTGTGTTCCAGTCCAGGCTCTTTGGTGTGGTGCGAAAAATTGTTTAGGTATAAAGTTTAGGATCATATTATAAAATCACAAACCAAATAAAAAAGTTAATATTTAAGGACACATTTTTACACAACGTTCTCTAGTCTCAAACTAAGCAACGCTTGTATTATGGGTAACTGAAAATCATACTTAAACATATGGTATGTCTTTTGTAAATAAATACATATTATACATATACAGCGTGTCGTTACAACCACGACAGTAAATACATAACAAATATAACACACGTCTAACGCTACTTGTCAATAATCATAAAAAAATAAAAAACGTTAAAAAATTTCATAATTAAAAAATGTTTTTTCAAACAAAATAAATAAATAAAAAAGAAACATAATTTATTACACCTGTACAAATGACTACTTTATACATTCAGAGACTTTTCATTCGTTGCCAAAACGTCGCATAACATGTCTCTCCTTCTAACAATATGTTTAATCTCTTTTAAATTCATTCAACCCGTAATTATTCTTTGTGACTTTTACAAATGAATATTACGTTACAGTTTTATACGTAAGGATGTTCTAAAAATGTTTGTTTTGTAAAATTTAAAAACTCGGTAAATATTGTTTAAAGAATGTAAATACTTAATACAATTTTAAAAAGTTATCCTCTATATGTGTATTCATTTATTGTCGCGGTTCTAACGACACGCTATATAAACACCCAGACTATGGAAAAACACTATGTATTTCAAATAATAATTTTTCAGTATTGAAGACTTCTGGCGCAAGACTCAGGTTCACTACCCTCTACGCCAATCTTGTTGTCAAAATGCTGACGGATCCAATGATTATTTATTTAGGTCATATTCGATAGCTTCTGAGTATACTGAGTCAATTAAGGCGCTGTATGCAGTAAATTTTTAACTATTTGGGTGGTGAAGTATGAGGAAGCGTGAATATTTTTTTATGATTATTGGCAAGTAGCGTTAGACGTGTGTTCATTTATTGTCGCGACGGTAACGACACGCTGTGTACATAAAAGAATTGCTCGTTTAAAGGATAAGATTTCCAAATAAGAAAATCAACAATAAGTACAACAAAAAATTTAGGGATTTGAACCCAATCCATAAAGAATGTTTTTAAAGGTCTAATAAAATTAAAACTCTCAATAATAAATAAATACGAAACATATTTCGTAACGGTGAGCGGGCGATGAGCGGCATAAATCCATCTAACATGGCACCCCAGCGCTCTCTGTCAAAGAGTACTTTTATATTTACTTTTATATTTTTTTACCTATATCTGAAAATTTTGTATATCTGCTCTCTGTTCAACGTGTGGAGTTGGAAGAGAATCGAAACAACGCCGCGGTGGTGCGGTGTTTTGGCCATCGCGTTGTAAATTAATTTGAATGAATTTAATTAACATTTATAAATATCTTACTTCAATCAACAAATAAAGACACCAGTCCTTTTTATTAATATATTCTACACCACTGATATTAATTTCATTAAGATTTGTTCATTTATTATATGTATTTTTTATTTGAATTTCACGTTTAAAGGTGATTTTTTTCGTGATTTTTTACTATCGAGAAAGTATATCGAAATAGAAAATATATCGAGAATATGTTTTGAAAACAATGGTCTATTAGAATGTAAGATCGAGATTAACGTATATTTTTTTGTTTCTATAAAATTTATAGTTTTTGTCAAACATTTTTTGAAAAACCTATTTTTACTGCATACAGCGCCTTAAAATATTTAGGTATTTTATATAACCGAACTACATAATAAAACGTAATCTTCATGTTAGCGTTATTTTTATTAAAACAAAGAACAATTAAATAATTACCGAGATACTTTCACGTATATTAAATCAATTACAATATCAGTAAAAAAATCGTACATCTTTTTTATTCTTTAAACGAGCAATTCTTGTATATATATATATATAATCGGAATCTCGGAAAGGGCTCCAGCGATTTTCATGAAATTTAGTATGTGCGTAGATTCGGGGGCGAAAAATCGATCTAGCTAGGTTTCATTTTTAGAAAATGTCCTTTTATCCCTGTTTTCAGGGAATGAAAAATATAATTCGAATATGACGGTAAATTTCGCCGCAAATGTTATAATAGCTCGGTCGGTAATCGGTCGGCCCCAAAACAGACGGCCCTGGTTCGCGTCACGATCATTTACACATTTATTTTTTAACTTTTTTTTCGATTCCAGATCATTGCTTTCTTTATTTTTAATTTTTTGTCGATTTGTTATTTTGTTATTGTTTTCCCTTTTTTTTAAAGTTCTTTCTTTTGTGAAAAACATCAGTTCATATTTTCTTATTATTACGTCGGTAAGATCGAAAAATATTATGCATATTTCCTTACTCAGTAATTTGTATCTAAATGTAATTTCCAAAATACACGATTTACCAAAAAAAAAAAATAAACCGAGCAAAGCTAAGTGATCCAAATAACGTTGCAGCAGTGACCGCGGGCCGCTATGATTGATCTTGTCCCAATGCGCCCGTTGTTGCGGTAATGCAGTTAGTATGCGATGAATGGCGGCGCGTATGCGTGCATTTTTGTTGATAAGTTGCGTAAAATTATTTTTAATTACCTTCCGGTCAGTCAGGATTTTTATCCTTCCCAAAAACGTTCAAGCTTTATGACGAATGATTTTATCCTTCCCAAAAATGTTCAAGCTTTATGACGAATGATTTGATTCTAATAAATACATGTTATGTTGACTTTAGATATTAGCTTATCATGGGGCCTGTTGAATAAGCGATCATAATTTCGATTGGGGCAATAACGGATTAATATCTAGTTTTCTCGAAGTTGTTTTTTTTTGTAAAATAAAAACAAGTATATTTCTATACTGTTAAGAAATTTTAGAGTATGAAGAATACAACAATTTCAAACTTGTAAATTTAATAAGAAAAACCAAATAGTTATTGCACAAATACGAAACTAAAACATTTTATTAAATAATATTATATATATTTGCTAAACCTAAAAAAAATTGACCTAAAAATAAAACGAAAGAAAAACTAATATTCTTCGCCGCCTTCACCTTCTCCTTCACCGGAATCCATGCCAACTTCCTCGTAGTCTTTTTCGAGAGCAGCGAGGTCCTCCCGGGCTTCCGAAAACTCCCCTTCCTCCATTCCCTCGCCTACGTACCAATGAACAAAAGCGCGCTTGGCATACATCAAGTCAAACTTATGATTCAATCGTGACCAAGCCTCAGCAATAGCCGTGGTATTAGACAACATGCATACTGCACGCTGCACCTTTGCCAGGTCCCCTCCTGGAACTACAGTCGGTGGTTGATAGTTGATGCCCACTTTAAAACCGGTAGGACACCAATCCACAAACTGTATCGTGCGCTTCGTTTTTATCGTTCCAATTGCAGCATTCACGTCTTTAGGAACAACATCGCCCCTGTAGAGCATACAACATGCCATATATTTACCATGCCGGGGATCACATTTGACCATTTGATTGGCGGGTTCAAAGCAAGCATTAGTGATTTCAGCCACAGATAGCTGTTCGTGATAAGCTTTCTCCGCAGAAATTACAGGCGCATACGTAACCAGAGGAAAATGAATTCGAGGGTAAGGGACTAAGTTGGTTTGAAATTCAGTCAAGTCAACATTAAGAGCACCGTCGAATCTGAGTGAAGCAGTAATTGAGGAAACAATTTGACCAATTAGGCGATTCAGATTGGTATAAGTAGGTCTTTCAATATCCAAGTTGCGGCGACAAATGTCATAAATAGCCTCATTGTCCACCATGAACGCAGCGTCAGAGTGTTCCAGAGTCGTGTGAGTTGTAAGAATGGAGTTATAAGGTTCAACCACAGCTGTAGAAATTTGCGGGGCGGGGTATATAGCAAACTCAAGCTTTGACTTTTTACCATAATCAACGGATAGTCTCTCCATCAGCAAGGAAGCAAATCCCGAGCCAGTTCCACCCCCAAAAGAATGAAAAATTAAAAACCCTTGTAATCCAGTGCATTGATCCGCTAATTTTCTTACCCTGTCCAGAACTAGATCTACTATTTCCTTGCCAATAGTATAATGTCCCCTGGCGTAATTGTTAGCGGCATCTTCCTTGCCTGTTATGAGTTGTTCTGGGTGGAATAATTGACGGTAAGTACCTGTACGTACTTCATCCACCACAGTCGGTTCTAAATCAATAAATACTGCTCTGGGCACATGTTTTCCGGCACCAGTTTCGCTAAAAAAAGTATTGAAAGAGTCATCACCACCTCCAACAGTTTTATCTGACGGCATTTGTCCATCTGGTTGAATTCCATGTTCCAAGCAGTACAACTCCCAGCATGCATTTCCTATTTGGACGCCGGCCTGACCTGCATGTATGGAAATACACTCACGCATTTTCAATTATTTGCAACAAACTTAAATAATGTAATTAAATTTTTTAAGCTGTTTGCCAACGCAGAATTCCGTGGATGGAACTAGATCCAAACATGAAATAAACAAAATACGAATGATTGTCCTTCCTAATTTTTTATATTTTGTATATTTTAAGGTTTTTGGCCTGTATGTTATACATGTGTATCAACAGGGTAAGTTGAATTGTTTATGCAGTCATTTATATTTATTATCATTTTTTTGTTTTATTAAATTAGTTTCATACATTTTTATCAAAAACTTATAAGTTAATTTAATCAAACAATCTTAATCGATTTATGAGTTAGGCATAGATTCCGTACACCATAGATTCTGTCTTTTCTATAATCTATAGCAATATCTACCTCGCTATGGTACTTGCTGACTTGCTATAATTGCTTCAGCTTTCGGGTCTTGCTACATCATAATATTTTTGGAAATAAAAATCAAGTAATTACTAAATAAAATTAAATATCACTTCCCTTAAATAGTCGTGGGCATTTACTGTAATCGTAAATATGTCTGAAGAAGACGTAGATAGGTGGGCCGTTGAGGCGAGGGACAAAGGTACATATCGATCACTGATTATTGATTAGTGTGCGGTACATTAATTTTCGTCACCGGATTAATATATAAATGGATTTTAATTGAAACGTAACTTCATGCAGTCACTTTTCCGTTAGGAAGTATATCCTACTCTGTTTTAATAAATTATGTCCGTCTCGAAAAATAATGTGCTATATTATCATAATTATATTCATTTATGGTACCACAATTTCCCATTTTTTACAAACTTGATAAATTAATTGATAAAAAGAAACCGAATTAATTGCCTCAAATTATTTTTTTTGTTCTCTTTTTCATTGGGCGACTCAGTGATGTCTATTAAAAATTAATTCAGAACACTAAGTTTTGCTTAACAATGTGTCCATATGGCATAGAAGAACCAGCTTCTTACATAAACTCTCAGCGGCAGTGGCCAAACTTGTAATGTGTTTTAGTGTATTGTAACTATTTTGTTATCATGTGGGTAGATAGAAATAAAGTTTCGTAAGCCTTAAGAGGGCAATTAAGAAAGTTTGAGTGCAGTTTTGATTTGTGAAAATGTTTTAGGGGAACTGTGTCTTTGTCTAAGTTGATGTTTTAAATTGTGTTCTGAAAATTGAAAATGTCAAGGTGTTTAGTTTATAGTTTAATTGTTATAACTGAACATCTAAAGGCACCTTGCATTTCTTAAAAATGCCTTTGAAACCAAGTTAGATAACACAAGACGTAGAAGAAGATTGATCAAACGATGATTGACCCATCATGAAGTGGCTATTGTGATTAACATTTCCTGTTCTTCATTGCAATATGCTCTAGCAATTCTTACTACTCCCAACAATGAGTTTTAGTAGAGGCTCTAATGATAATATCATTAAAGATTAACAAAACTAGGTTTTAGAAAAAGGTGGTAGCTTTAATGCAGAATTGGTTATTCTTAGTAATATCCTTTATAACTATACAACAAAATGTTGAGGAGATCCGACAAGAACTTGTCCTTTAGAGGGTTTATTGGGTACAATCTATTCATTTTAAAACACAATGCTTATCCACACATGCCAATATTGAGAATGAACACCTTCAAGAGGTTGATACTCAAAAATTACAGTAGCTTAAATTACGCAGCCTAGACATGATTCTTATAGAATGCATTTGGGATAAAGTATTGATTGAGTCGGCAATCAAACCCTCAAAAAACTTTGACTAGCTTAGAGATGTTGCAGTATTACGGCACTCTTAATTAATATACTCAAGTGAAATTTCAACTCAACAATTCAATTGGTGCCCCAATGTGGGGCACCAATTGAATTGTTTATGCTATTTTTAGTGTTGACCATTCATGGTTTATCAGTGGAGGAAAATATAATAATATCTAAAATATAAATGTGAAAATACATTCATATTTAAGTAGCAACTAATAGAATTTATTATGAATATAAAAGAAACTTAGAACAAATGAAACTAAGAAAATTGATTTTATCCTATTTTTATTCTCTTTTTCAATAGCCAACTATAGTTGTGCATCAAATGTTTCATCACACTAGGTTGTACTTAGCAATGTGACCAACATTGACACAATGGTTATTTGTAGCATTTATTTGAAATTAATTTAAACACATTTTAATGTTTGCCTGAGTTATGCAAATATTAAAATGTGTTAATTGTTTATAATTCACATAATCCATAGAAAAACCAGCAATTCAAATATGTTTATAAAAAAAGATACAGCTGTATAAAATCAATATTAATTACAACAAACTTATTGGTTATTATGATTAAAATTTTATTAAATCACATTTAATAAAATTTTAATCACAATAACTTAACACTCGTTAATTCATTACATTCAAGCTACCTAGTAAAAACACTGATGGAATTATTATTGCAATTTTATGTGCTGATCATTACTTGTTCATCATTGTTTACTAGTATATTAGGTTGGGGAAAAACTATTTTGCAAATAGTATGTATGTACTTATAATATAATCTCTTTGGTATCATTAAAAAGTTTAAATTTAAAAAAAAAATTCCAAATTAGAATTAGGAAAATGTGTGATTTTCATTTGTTTTTCTTACTGTTAAGATGGGTGATTCTAATGAAAAAATTTGATACATTTTAAAATTTTACTACAAAAAAGGTAAAGTGAAACGCAAGCCGCGCAAAAAATTTGTGATATTTATGGGCCTAGTGCAGTGTCTGTGAGAGTAGCACAAATTTGGTTTAAGCGTTTTCAACCTGGAAATTTTGATGTTAAAGATTCACCTGGCTCCGGGTTACGGAGTGAGGTGAATCGGATACGTATCGGTGTTACGGATAAAATGGATGCCATATTTGAAAAAGTGGAGCAAGATCGGCATATCAGTAGTTTCGATGTAGCTGAAGAAATGGGAATTGACCACAAAACAATTTTGGCGCATTTGAAAAAATGCCTCACGAGCTTACTGAAAGAAACCTAATGAACCGTGTACTCATTTATGATTCTTTATTACGATGTAATGGAACCGAACCATTTTTTAAAAACCTGATAACGGGTGATGAAAAGTGCATCACGAACGACAAGAACATGTGATAAAAGTCGTGGTCACGGGCAAGATAATGCTGTGTGTATGGTGGGATTGGAAGGGCATTATTATGAGCTGTTACCGCCAGGCAGGACCATTGATGGTGAACCCTACTGCGAACAACTGATGAGATTAAAGCAAGAAGTTAAGAGAAAGCGGCCGAAATTAATCAACAGAAGTGGTGTGGTTTTTCATCATGATAATGCTAGACCTCACACATGTTTATTCACTCAGCAAAAATTAAGAGAGATTAACTGGAAGGTGTTAATGCATCCGCCATATAGTCCTGACCTTGCAGTTTCAGATTTCTAGTTGTTTCGGTCTCTTGAGAATTTTTTAGGCAGTGTCAGTTTAACATGACGAGAGGACTGCCAAAACCTCTTGTCGCGGTTTTTTGATCAGAAGCCCCAGAATTTCTATTGCAATGGGATCATGTCCCTACCTTCAAGATGGCAGAAAGTTATCAAACAAAATGGCACCTACATACTTTAGTTAAATGTAAATAAACTGTATCAAAAAATGTTTTTAAATATCATATAAAATGCGAATAAACTTTTTCCCCAACATATTACAAAAGTCTTTGTAGAAATACACATACAATACAATATCTATATATCAATATATACAAAATAATACAATAATTAGCATAATTTAGTAAAGTATAACATAGAAGAATAGAAGATAAAAAAATATGTAGATGATCAATTTAATTTAACACGCTTATATTTTAATTTTTAATACTCATTATAAAAGCATTACTTTCATCTTAATCATAAATAGACCAAATATTAATATTAAAAATGATTTATTGAATGGCTTTCATTGTTGTTTATTGCCATTATTATAAACAATAACACATGTTATCAAATGTCTGCAAGATTTCATTACATTAAATTGATCATGCCAATAAATGCCTTGCAACGGAGTAAATAAATTTGTGATTTTTATTACTACAACATGATCTTAGTTAGGTTGTGAGTTAAATAAGTAGCAGTGTGCCTGTTTACTATAGGTTTAAATTTAACGTCCTAGTTTAGAAGGTAACAAGTTAGGAATAATGATTTTTACAATTTTTGTCCCGTTTGTCTATGCATTTGTGTGCTAATCATGTCTTCATAAATTTGTTGCAACTTCCACTAATACAATGTAGTAAGTTTAACTTAACATTTAGTGTCAGTTTTATTGAAATCAGTTCATAAATAAAAAGTTATACCAACTTAGAGAACCGCATTGAAGATTTGTGTGATAAAATGTTATATAGTTATATTCTGTAATATAATATTTTTAATTTTATATAAAGTTAAAAAAATCGGCCATGTGCGAGTCAGACTCGCGCATGACCAAGGGTATTTGCATTCTGAGGTTGTAAGTTATTTTGCACTGCTTTTCAATACAAAATAAAAATATATTTAAGTGGGGCTCGCATACTTAATGCATATTTTTTTGGCGCTTTTTATAGATACTGGTACTACTTTCATGCCCCATCAAGTCACACTGCTGGTTTTTTTAAAAGGTCAAGTGACCAGTGGTCAATGTGAATTGTGTAAACAATGTTAAGGTATCAAGTAAAAAAGAGAAAACATGACTATATTAACATGCAATTTGTTTTAGGGCTACAATTGTCCCCAAGTTGCACCAGCTTTGAGATTCTAGATCCTCATGATCCTGTTCTGAGTCGCCTAGCAACCCAATTGTTCAGGCGCACTAATGAATATCTACAAGGGGAGATGGCTGTTGGTCAGGTTTGTTAGGAACACAATTAACATATGCCATTATATCACATATTTGTTGGCTTTGTTAATGATATTTCATATTGTATTTATATTGTCATTATTTTTATGTTACAGGAACACTATGTTCTTTTAGAAGAGATAAATAGAATGGTCATCACAAAATATGCAGATCTTAGAAGCTTAGCTATGAATCTGAGCAAAACATTAAATGAATATAATGAGATGCGTAAGTAAATTCTAAATGTTGATTTGAAGTAAAATAAAAAAATATTTATTAGAAAATATGATTTCAGATACAGATTTAATCAAGCCATTACTGATGCAAATTGATCAAATAGATGCTCAAGTGTCCCAAGTTGAAGTCAATGCATATCTTCTTGATAACTATACTAAGCTCCTCAAAGCCCGCTTCAAAGAATTGGAGGAAAAGTAAATTGGGAGATCAACTGAATAGTTTCATCATTCAGTGTAATTCACTTACATACAACTACGTGTATTCTCACAATATCAGTAATAAATATTGAAAACAAGTTTAAGAAATGCTTGTTATATAATTATAATTTATTCCTTGAGTAGTATTTTAATGTTATGTATCTAGTTAAGGCACTATTTATTTGTTGTTGCAAATAAATTTGTAGCCATCTAAGATTAATTTATAAATCAGCATTTATTATTACTTTAAGTTATATAATATATTTATATCATTATGATATTTTATACTCTTTATGAGATATGAAATTTAGTTTATAGTTTATTTGATAAGACAATGTCATATGTATGATTTGCATGTATGCATGGCGGGGTTTCCAAAGAATTAAAATTTTTCAGAGGTATAATGTTCATATACCTTATTGAGTATAGCCAGAGTTTTATATTGTTCAAAAAGATGAATTAACAACAGAAACCATCAATAATTTTTAAAAGGTCTGATTTAATCGCTTTATTCACCATATAGTAAAGTCGTTCATACATAAATTACAAACATCGTAAAACATTAATCTAATATAATATTTTATTAATATTTAACTTTCACTCTTTGTGTATTCATTATTTATAATGGATATGTAGTGTGTAGTAGTGAAACCAAACTTGTAGTATCAATGTCGTAAATAAAAATAAATAAAAGTGATTTTTTTCTATTTATTTTCCTTAATAAGTCAACTTCATAAAAAATCCAATTATACAGGACGTAATTATATTTTAGCTGAATTTTGATGATTGAATAGATTTATTGTTTTTTTTTTAAATTGCACTAAGAAAATTAGACGCGAAGACTTAAGGCCCATTTACACGGTGCTAGTTTCTTGCCTGTTGTATACAATTAAATTGAAGCAATAAATGAGTTGCATGGTCTAAACAACAAATGGTCTTAACAATTATTGCGCGCAATTTATTGCATTCAATTATTGCTCTTGTATGTACAAGAAAATGGCATCGTGTAAATGGGCCTTCAATTTTGAATTGACTTTCCGTGTAGCAAATAGGTATGTCAATTCCTCTCCCCTTCGTTCTCGTTTTATATGGCTTACATTTTAACAAAGGGGGTAACTCTAGAATTGTGTTTTTTTCCATTTTAAACGACCCGATTTCTTTTTCTTATCTTAAAGATAAATTTAAATACCTCTGCCTGAACAATGAAATAGATCTCAGTTCTTCATCTAACCATAAGATTTCTATTCGTCTTCCTTACACCAGTCATTCGTGGATCCATCATCAAAAGCTTTTCATTGTTCCTTTCCTTAAATAAATTAAATACTATATTTTCTCTGTAAATCATAGTTCTAATAATATTCTTTCTTATAGACTTGAACACTGTCGATATAATTTGTTAGTATTATAATAAATCTTGTATTAACTGATGTTAACGCTTTCAGTCCCTAGACTGTTAAAGCTTCATCGAACGCACTTATACTAAATATCTTAAGCTGAACCAGCGATTTTGGTGAAATGCCAAAAACTTGATCTTAGCTACCACGAAAAAGGTTCAGCTGAGCATGGTGGTAAATTGGTAAGGTTGAAGAAGTTTTTTCATCCATCACCAAGAATTACTGGTTGAACTGTGCAGATTATGTAACAAAATTATAAGAAGTACATGGCAATAAGACAGATTGTTGGATGATCTAGAACTATTTGTGGTTAGTGTGCGTAATTTCTTATATAACTTATATAACCTTATATAAGGTTTATAAAGGGTGAACTTAATGCATGTAATGTTTTTTGGTATTCACTCGTAGTCAAGTCGGGATTTAGATTTAAATTGTGGTAGGTGCAATAACTACATCCAATATCGATTAATATATGTGATTTTCGTGAAATTTTGTGTACATATCGGCCAGGGTGGAGAATCGGACAATACCTATTTTTCATCCCTCTAAATGTTAAGGGTGGTCCACCCCATGTTTTTCTACCCTACAAATAATTTATATGGCAAAACAATGTTTCCGGGTCAGCTAGTATATATACATACCAATACATATTTAAAAGTTTTATGTTATGTAAGTATATTTGATATTATTATTTAAAGTAAAGTAACAGCCTATACATGTCCCACTTCTGGGCAAAGGCCTCCTCTATACAGACTTTAGTATTTAGGAACTTATGTAGCTTATTGCACCTACCACAATCTTTCTCCACGTTACGGGTTGACTTGGTGAGTATGCCCAAAAGGCATTAGGGCCGCCTTTTGTAATTCTTTTAATTTAAGGTTTGGCATTAAAACATGAATAAGTAAATAAATTATACGGTATAGTAAGGTAACGGTGGTAGGACCACGCAGCAGCCTCGACTGTTGCACGAATGGGCAGGCTCGTCCGGATAATTACCACGACCTCACAGAAGACCGGCGTAAAGTGGAAGTATAATACTTTCGCGTTTCGTCTGGTGAGTGAGGTAGCCGGTGTTGGAAGGTCGTGATGCTGTCCACGTATAATTGTCTATGATGCACTGCATTTGAATTTGGATTATATTCTTTTACTTTTGATGTGCGGTGTCATTATGTATCATAATATATTTTCTCATATACAAGTAAACACAATGTTTTCAAGTATTATTTACGTTTTAATTAATTGCTATAGCCGCTAGTCCACCCTATCAGTGGTAGCAGAGCGTGGTTGGATGAATATCTAGAGGCAAATGGAAAAAGCATATTTAAAATAGTAAGTAAATGAGAAAATAAAATTTTTAAAATGAGCTCGAGTAGAAGAAATATAGAACCGTTGAAGTCAAATTACGATACCTGATGCTTTCAAGCACAGGTGATTCTCATAAGATACGATTTGTGGGAATACACTAGTGGTGAAAAAACGTTAGCGGCAACTGCGACTGCCGAAGAAAAGAGTGCGTTCCTAAAGGACGACTTAAAGGCAAGGTCAAGGCTACTTTTACTTATATCTCCACCACAACAAATTAAAGGGAGTAATACATCCAAGGAGGTATGGGACAAACTAAAGTCTGTACATCAAAGTTCGGGGCCGGCAAGAAAGGCTACGCTATTAAAGCAATTAGTATTGAAGAAAATGACTCCACAAGAAGATATGAGAGACCATCTCAGTAACTTTATGGATATAGTTGGTAAATTAGAAGACATGGATGTCAAAATACGTCCAGAGTTATTAAGCATAATGATGTTGTACAGTTTAATTGAGTCGAGAGATATTCTGCCAAGTCCTGACAATTTAAAAATAAAAATCGTAAAAGAAGACGAAGCAAGAAGGCAAACCGAAGAGAGTGAACCTCAAAATTCAGAAGCATTCTATCTTGAATGATAGATGTGGCTAATGGGATCACTTTCAAGCCAAAAAGACACTTAAGGACTGATAAGCAAACTATTTATTTCAACTTAAACATTTTGAACTTATTTTAGACCAAACGTAATGATTATGAAATTTATGTAAAATACAAGAGTTATGTCAGATACATGTTACTTCTCTAAATGATTTTAACGGAATCCATCAAATATGACACAATTCAGTCTAAACAAATAAAACTAACATTCCAAATTTAAAGCAATTAAAACATAATACATAAATCAAACAGATCAGAGTTGACATCAAAAGAGTATGTATAATCTGAGATTACCAATCAACACACCTCCATAATCTCAGATATACATCATAACACCAAACAAGTACAGAAAACCCAAAAAATGTAGAAATTATCAACAAACAAACCACCAATCATAAAACAACAATAACACACAACAAAAATCACAAAACTCTTAATAACTAAAACCACAAAAATACAAGACAAACATAATACACTATAAAGAGGAGATATCTAAAATTCTGTAGTTTCTCTAAAAAAAAAGTTTTGAATTTCGATCTTTACAACAATCTCACACACACGCTTCCACGGCGCGAATCTCTATTATTAACACCACCTTACATTAGCATTACCTACACTAAAAGGTTTAGATTTAAAGTACCTAAAAATCTTAATAACGTCTATCAAGACAATAACAATAATGTGCCACATCAAAGCAGCTTCTTTTAGACCGTAAAGACTTCTTCAACCCACAAATCTTCCCCTTCTTCACAACATAACATTAAGGAATTTGGATAAAAACCTCCACTCCCTTTAGACTCCCATGCAAAAATGCCGTCCCGATATCGAACCGTCCCAATCTCAAACTCCTCCGAGTGGCCATCGACAAAACAATTCCAAGCGAAGCACCGTTCACCACAGGACCACAGACCTCCCCATAGTCCACCTTAAATTTCTGTTGAAAACCTCCGACTACCAATACAGCCCTAAATCTTCCGTCCTACCTCTCAGCAAAGACCCACTTGCCTGCTAAAAGTTTTCTCTCTTCAGCCTCTTTTTCACCAACCAACTCCCACGCGCCATTCCTCTACAAAGAAAAACCTCTCCTCCTCCACAGCCATCAACCATCTCTCCGTCTCACCGGAGCCAACCGCCTCCCCAATGGTAAAAGTGCACACAGCCAAAAAATCCACAACATAATCCCTATACCTCTCAGGTAGACCTATTTATCGCTAGATCCCTCCCTGAACCCACAAACTTCGCAACAATCTCCGTCTCCCCTTCATAAAGACCTAATTCTCGGTGGATCCCTCCCTGGACTCACACCCTCCGCAACAAACTCCGTCTCCCCTTCACATGTTTTATCAGCATCATCAAAAACATCAACACACTCCTCTATTCTATCCCCACTCGCATATCTTCAATACAATTGCATCTTCACAAACTACTTCATTTGTTTCTGTACTCTCCTCATTCCCAACACCGTCAATTGTTACTTCTTCTTCAACTGTTTCTTTTTCAATTGTTTCTTTCGAATTCTTCCTTTTTCAATTGTTTCTTCTTCATCACTAGAAAATTCTTATAAAAATCTCCTTCAAAATTTAAACCACCTATGCCTCCATTTTATTTATGGCTTAATTTCTTACTTCTCGTCGTGGCCGCAGTCTGCTCATTATTTTCCAAAATATTTTTCAAATCCCGCAGGAGTTATTTTCAAATCTTTTGTTTTCAGCTATGGTTGTTAGAATCTTTTGCTAATAATGGTTTGATGGGCTTGTCCATCTTTGAAAATTTCTTTGCAGCTGTCACTTTTGCTCAAAAACTGGAAAATCTCCATGTTTGTCATGATGTTTCTGGGCCCATAACTAATTATTTATAAACTAAACTATTTATTTCAACTTAAACATTTTGAACTTATTTTAGACCAAACGTAATGATTATGAAATTTATGTAAAATACAAGAGTTATGTCAGATAGCTATACATGTTACTTCTCCAAACGATTTTAGCGGAATCAATCAAATATGACACAATTCAGTCTAAACAAATAAAACTAACATTCCAAATTTAAAGTAATTCAAACATAATACATAAATCAAACAGATCAGAGTTGACATCAAAAGAGTATGTATAATCTGAGATTACCAATCAACATTCTACACAAAGACGAAGAAAAAGGTACAATTTTGCAAGGATTGCAATAATAAAGGGCATTCCACAGAAGGTTGTTGGTCAAAGAAGAGACCCAATAATCCCAATAAAACTAAAGGTCAAGAAAAGACATAATATAACATCTGTTTAACAACAGGGTAAAAATTCCGAATAGTACGTCTCGTTTTTCAAGCTAGAAAAAAAATTAATCGATAGAGAAATGTTAATAATTGTATAATTATATACGTGAAAACCAATGAAAACAGTTACTTTTAATTAAAAAAAAATTTAAGTTTGTTATTTTCATTGGCATGAATTCTGCCATTTTATTAATTTGACATCAAAAACATGAATACACACAGTGCTGCCACCATGAATACATATGACAATACTGCCAACATAACATGATAAAAATTTCCATCAGATTCCGAGTGTTTTCGACCAAACAAAAATTTTATTCGGTTGAGAAAAATCACTAATAAAATAACCAGCACAAGCAGAATTTGGCGGTCGCTTATAGTTTTGGAGAAAAAAAATATTTAAAACTTGTTATTTTCACTAAATAAATCCGCCATTTTGTGTTTGACAACATGTATAGATTTACGAATTCACACACTTTTCCAAATTATAACCTTCGCATTATTAAAAAAGTGTCTTTAAAAATACTAAAAGTACTGTTACACTAAAGTTTTCTGGGTGGTTATAGAAAAAATAACCACGAAGGCTAAGGCGGGGGATCAGCTCCAACCTTCTAACCTAACCTACCCGAGTCGGATCGCTCGGTGTCGGATCTGTGACTCATTTAATCCATTAATAATCTAGGTGGGAAAAGTCTTCGTGATATATAAAAATGTGCAATCACAAACCTAATCAATCAGTAAAAATAAATGTTGAACCTAATTTTGTTTAGTTGACAATAATTTAAATCATAAAAAATTGCAATCGACAAAGACATTTTTTTTATCGATTATAAATAATCGATAAAAAAAAAATGTCCAAAATATTTCAATATGAATAGCGTAGCGTTGTTGACTTTTTTGTTTGGTATTGTTGTTTTGTTTGGTATTGGCGCCTAATATTCGGGACATTAAGTGTACACTAAGTCAGAAAATTTTAAATATTAGAAATTGTTAATAATACATGTTCATGAAGTAGAAACTTGTGTTTTTGTGATATATCTGTGTATTTGTGTCTTCTTAACAGGTAAAAAGGGAAAACGTAAGTTTATAACTTAAAATAATAGTCTATAATGAATAATGAACGCAGAGTAATGACGGATTTCAGTTGTATGAAATTTAAAAACTTTGTTAGTTTTTTCCTCATAATCTAATGGTTTTTGATTATAACTTATATAATATTTAATTATTAATCTTTCTCTATAGATGATTTTTTTTTTCTAATCGCTTGAATAACGAGGCGTACTATTCGGAATTTTTGCCATCGATAAATTCAAGGAATATAAAAACTATGTTGAACTGTTTCATAAGAAGAAAATTCAAAATCTACAATCTGATAATGGAGGCGAATACAGGTCTAAAGCGTTTGGAAAAATTCTCAAAGATAACGGTATAAGCCGAAGACTATCTGCATCTTATACCCCACAGCAAAATGGCATGAGTGAAAGGAAAAATCGGTCGCTGATGGATAAAGCCAGATGACTGATGCTAGATGCCAATATCCCTGCAAAATTTTGGGCAGAAGCAGTAAACACTGCAAACTATTTGATAAATAGAAGCCCAGCAAGAGCTTTCAAAGGCAATTCTCCATATGAGAAATGGGTACAACGAACACCATCAGGAAATTACCTACACGTATTCAGAAATAGAGCGTTTGTGATGAACAAAAACCGAAGAGGAAAATTCACAGCCAAAGCCACAGAAGGAGTATTCTTGCGATATGTGGAATATACAAAAGGTTTTAGAATCTATATACCCGAAAGGAATGATGTTGTTATCAGCAGAGATATAAAAGTAATCGAAAAGATGCATTATGGCGATACTCCTGCTGAGAAACGCGAAGATCTTACTCCAGAACCTGAAACAGAACAAATTGAAATTCCAGAAAAAAGAAACAAAATTAATGAGAAATTACCTTTTCAGGAACCTAACCCCTTTTATTGCAGCTCTAGTCAAGATCCTGTTGATGAACCATCTCCCTCAAGTGGAAGACCACAAAGAAACGTGAGAACATAAGCATGGACCAAAGATTATGAGTTAAGTCGCAGTGTGACCATGTTTACGTCAGAAAATAATGACGACTATGACTGCTTTCACTCGCATACAAAGAAGCTGTGACTAGCACCGACAGACGAAATTGGGAGAAGGCGATACAATCTGAAATGGAATCATTACAGAAAAATAAAAATCTTGTGACACGCCCGCAAGTAGCGATTTAAAGTCGATACAGGAAACTGCCCAGGAGAAGGAATATCCCTATAGGGAAACAGTGGGAAGTTTACTGCACCTGTCTACCAGAACCAGATCAGATATCGCACAAGCGGTCAATCTAGTTAGCAGGAAGGTCGAAAACCCCACTAGAGAAGATGTCACAAAATTCAAGAAAATATTCAAATATTTGGTGGGAACCAAAGAGAAAGGCATTTTGTTCAAACGAAACAAACCGATAGAGAACATTGATGCTTACAGCGAGTCGGATTATGCTGGAGACCCATTGACGCGAAGCGCTTCTGGCTCCGTGCTAATGATAGCCGATAGACCAATATCATGGGCATCCAAGAGGTAGCCTATAGTAGCGCTATCGTCGACTGAAGCCGAGTACATAGCCGGAGTAGACTGTTGCAAAGAGGCATTGTATCTCAAATCTCTATTACGAGAAATAACCGGTTTGGACATAAAAATTAATTTGCATGTTGATAATCAACGTTCGATTCAACTTGTGAAGTCTTCTTCCTTCACCAAGTCGAAGTGGTGGAAGGTCGTGATGCTGTCCACGTATCTTCTTTTACTTTTGACTTTCTCATATACAAGCAAACACAATGTTTTCAAGTGTTATTTATGTTTTAATTAATTGCTATAGCCGCTAGTCCACCCTATCAGCTGGAGCCCAATTTTCAAAAGGTTGTCAACGCATCTGCAACCCTCGGGTGTCATTCAATTATTTATATGTATTGACAATATAGAATATAGGTATATATTCACACGTTTACTCGAAATGTGTGTGAATATGTACCTATGTTCTATAAATACAATTACTAAAATACGCTCAAATAGAAAATTCTTTAGACGATAGAGTTCGTAAGGTTACAAAGACTAAAACGGCTAACCTCGGTGACTACCAAACTGTTGTTAAATAATAAGTTACTTAAAATTATTTTTATTATATATTTTTATGAAACAAAAAAACATCCCAAAATATTATAGTAAAATACAAGTATCAAAATGAGTTTTAACACTAAAATTGGCATTGCTATGTAGAATTCTTTTTTATTTCTACTATCAGATCAATGCAGAATTATTTTAGGAATATTATAATATAGTAGGATGTGTAAACAAAATAGCAAGTAAATCATACAAGACTTCGTCAAGCTTACTTTCAGGTGGAAACGCGGCCTAAGACGAAACGCTCGTTTCGGTACGGATAAAGTAGGTTTGCGGTGGTAGAGTCAGGCAGCAGCCTCGGCTGTTGTAAGAATGGTCAGACTCGTCCGGGTAAGTACCACGACCTCATAGAAGACCGGCGTAAAGTGGAAGTATGACAAATACTTTCGCGTTTCGTCTGATGAGTGAGGTAGCCGGAGCCCAATTTCCAAAAAGATTGTCAACGCATCTGCAAACCCTCGGGTGTAGCAGATGTCTATGGGCGGCGGTATTCACTTAACATCAGGTGAACCATCTGCTCGTTTGGCAACTTTTCACATAAAAAAAGGTACACGTTTCTACTATACCCCTCATCATCTCTTAGTAGTTTATACAAACGGCACAGAACAATAGAGTATTTAAATCATATTTCGCTAATATTGGCAAGAATTTTGTGCTGTAGAAACCTGCGTCAGGTCAGGTGGCAGTAACCCAGCAAAAGGCCCATCCGCAGAGGTTCGAACTGCAGATAATCAAGCGTCTATAACTACATCCATTGGGTTATTTTTGTCATTCTGATTTAGGGGTAAATCGTAAAGATGAACTTTACGATTTACTCTGCTAATATTGTTTCAAGTCTCCATCAATTTTTTTATATTGTATTTTTATTATTATTTTTTTTATGTTATTTTTTAATATTGTTTTTTTATTATCAATGCCCCCATATTATTTTGCTTTCAAGGCGAATTCTCCGCATGAAGCCGATTGTGTTTGGATCGATACTGGAATGATCACGTATGTATCAATTCAAGGAAGAAATTATGTGTAAAACAAATTTAAATGTTGGGTGTGCAACAAATTAACTCACTCACTTCAAAATGGCATTATAATCTAGAGATTTTTGAACCCCATTTTTTTTAGAAAATGTAGTATCTATTTTTCTTCATAGCGCCCAACACTTGAAAGAATAATAGTACCTACGTTGTTGCGACGTGTCTGAAGTTCTTTGATAAAAATGTTAAATTTAAATTATTTTCAACGAGTTAATTTATCAGTCGTCTATAGAAACAATGATTGGGCGTCATGTTCGCGTGGCTGGGCTGTGTGTTGTGATACATTCTTTATTGATCGAACCTTGATGCGCAGTGAGCACTGCGCAGTGCGCTGTGACCTTTGCGTCGATAAGGGGTTCGACTGTAGTCAACTCCGTACTCCATTAGGGAAAGGTGTTGGTCATTATTGTTTTGCATGACTTGTTTCTTTGTGTTGTAAATAATATTAGATAATATAGATTTTTTAATACACAACTAGTTTTATGTTATTTATGTGCGTAAATTTAGTTTTGTAGGCTTTGCGATTTATTTTAAAGAAAGAAATGGAATGATTATTAAAAAATCATGCTTAACAAAAAGGAAGAAATGGAACATTTCAGGTAAGAATTTAGACAAATCTTGGTAACTAATCCTTTACGTTCTTTTACGTACATGCAAATATTTTTACATTTTATTCACTTAAAAATATTTTCATCCATAGAGAAACGTCATAACTAATCAGTGATAAACGATGAAAACACTTACAGAAAGAAACAAATAGGTACTTAAAACTTGTTTTTTCCACTAAGGAAATCCGCCATTACGTGACGTACGCCATTACATATGCTGATATTCTAAGTTTAAAACTTAGGTACCTACGTTTTTATTTTATCGGCGGCCACAGTGACACATATTATGGAAATGTACTTAAGGAACAAATCATGTATATCAATGTTAGTTAGAGTGCTGGAGTCTAAGCCACTCATTCTTAAATAATTACAATTAAACACAATGTGATCAAATTTCAGAATTTAACTTTTAGTTTTTTTTATATCTAAAAGTTGGCAAGCAAGCATGCGGTTCACCTGATGTTAAGTAATTACTGCTCATGTCATCCACACATCTGACGGTTTGCAAATGCATTGCCAACATTCAAAAAATGGGCCCTTTCCTCACTCTCCAGACGCAATGCGGATGTATATTACTTATATACTTCCACATCACGTTGGTTTCCAGTGAGGCTGTGCAACTTCCCTGGAAAAGCCCATTCGTTCAAAAGCCGTAGCTGCTGAGTGGCGTTCATGAAAAATGTTCCAAATGTCATATGATGACAATAATAAACCATGGCATTACTTTAATGTTTGATGATTAATGAGGTCTTTTATTCCATCATTTAAATTAAAAAATAAAGCAATAGGTAAATACTAAATAAATGTTTTTCATTTAATTAGTTAGCGGCAGATTATACAGAAGACGGGAGTATATAATCTGCTTTTAAGCCTAGCGTATGTGGACCATGAGAAGGCTGTCGAAATTTGGGCGGTACTCCAGGTCCTTCGGCGATGCCAAATTGACGATCGGTATATCGAGATGCTGAGATGCTTGTATAATACGGCTACGACAAAGTTCGTCTGTCCATCCAAGTACTTACAGTCCAGTAGTGCAAAAACTATCAAACTGTAGAAGCGAGTAAGACAGGGTGATGCTATATCCCTGAAACTCTTCACCGCTATGTTGGAAGCCGTTTCAAGTTTCTTGACTGCAAAGGACGACACATGAATAGCGATTATATCACCCACCTTCGATTTGTCGACGACATAGTCATCATGGCAGAATTGCTGGAGGACTTAAGTGCTACGCTCCTTGACCTCAACAGTGTCTCCTTAAGATAAACACGGACAAGACGAAGATCATGTATGAGATGGGAGCACTGTGTTCGAAGTTGTTGACGAGTAGTTACCTAGGACAGTTAGTCCGGTTAGGTAAGTCCAACTTCGACGCAGAGATCAACTTGGGTGGGCAGCATTCGGAAAACATTGGCACATATTCCCGTCTAATATCTCTCAATGTTTGAAGACAAAAAGTCTTCCATCAATCTGTGTTGACAGTTCGTAACCTTCGGAACCGAGAAGTGATCCTTCACTGCGGACCGTATGAACTGTAGGAAGCTCAAAGTCACGCAGCAAGCTATGGAGCGGGCTATGCTCGGTATATTTCTGCGTGATAGACTTCGCAACGAATACATCCTCATTAGAAAAAAAGTAACCGAAATATCTTAGAAGATTAGCAAAAAAAACTTAGAAGGTAGAACCACCGGTAACCGATAGGGAAGAAAGATTAGGCAAGATAGGCAACCTCGCAGTGTAGGACGACCCCCCACTAGATGGAGAGATAGACCTGTGCAAATGTGCGGAAAGTCGATGGATGCATGTGGCTCAGGATCGTGCTTGGTGGCAGTCTGTGGGGGAGGCATATGTTAAAGAACATTGCCCATACTTTAGGATAAAATTATAATGTGTTGTGAGGACGGTTTACAAACATTATTTTCACGTGTATAAACACACAGATGTGAAACAGCTAACTGTGTGCCACAAAAATAATTATTCCGTGTTGCTATCGAACCCACGATCCACGACGTTGAAGCCAATAACTTGGCGACTGCGCTAAGTAGTCATCAAATTTAATTGGTATTTACATTTTAATCTTCAATGAAAGACCTCATCAAATAAAGCCTACCATTACTTTATTGAAGTCATGTTATCGTATGGAATTCCAATCGTGTAATTTTTATGAAAAACTTAGGAGAATTTCAGAATTAATGTAATGGAATTAGCCCATGGAGGAAACATACATATATATAGTTCGTAGTAAAATTTTACATTGTTGTAAATATAATATGAAAATTATTTATTTTTGTTATTGATAATGATATTCCTTTTTTAATCCGCAATTTATAAATACTTTTAATTTAGAACATAGAGTCTAAGACTAATGGACTTATTAGTAATTTTATTTAACAGTGGATGAATAAGCTAAAGCAAACATGAATATGGCTGATGATAATACAACACAAGATGATTACAAAGCTCAAGCCACAATAAAAAAATCCATATCAAGCGAAAAGCTGGATCATAAAATTGATGTTGTTAAAAACGTAGAAAAGGATGTTGAAGCGGTTGGATGTGCCGAAAAAGTATTTCCAAGCACTTCTAATGCTGACGATAAAGCTTCCATAAGCTCCCTTAACTGTTTTTGTTCTGATTCTGAAGACGACGACGACGACGACGAAAGTTATGATGATGATTATGTGGAGACAACTGTTAATGTTGATTTAAGCAATTCGTTGTTGGGTCAACTTGATGAATTATATGGCAGAAAAAGCATGGAGTATCCACCAAATATATCACATATGATTAACCTACCAGTATATCTCTTGAATAAAATCAATACTCTGTGGATAGAATCCGTGATGGATCAGTTCGATCGATTATCAAGTCAGACCGAGTTTAAGCCAGAACAAGATGAAGAGTGTATGGTAAAACAAGATGAAGACCTTATGGTAAAACAAGATGAAGAAGTCACTACGTAAATTAATTTATAAATTTTTCAAATTTATTGTCTTTAATTGCATCTCATTGTAATATAAATCAAAATATTGTTTGTTTCAGACAATTACCCACCAAAGAATCTGAATTAGCCCAAGCCGATAAAGAGGCCGACGTGCCGGCTTTGATAGAGATAATGGATAAGGAATTAGCACTTTCTTTGTACCAGGAAGATGTAGCGGAATGGGGCAATAAGGATCCTAATGATCTAGCTGTCAAACTTAAGCGAGAAAAGCTATTCAACGCGTTTCCAGATATTTCTTCTGATGTTTTATCTGAGCTTCTGATAGCACATGACAATAACTATAATGAAACTGTAGAGGTACCTGTCAAAATTTTACTTTGAATAACAGTTTACTCTTATCAATCTTTTAACACTGCATGATTTTCCAGGGCCTATTAGAGTCGACAGGAAAGTCCAAGGTCTGGAAAGGAAGGACGGTGTAAATAAATTTATATAGTACCAAGAAATGGAGTGGCGGCAGAAGAAAGTTCAAGATCACAAAAAGGTCAGCAATATCGTTAAACCTGATATCGTAATATTGACAATGGTTTTTTTTATATTTTTACGTTCATACGCTTTTTTAATAAATGTAATGTGTTTTTTATTAATTACTTTTCCTATTAATATAACATTTGAGCAACTTTTTATTAATATCTTTTTATTACCTTTATCAATAACTCCGTGAATAATGGTTGTAAAAAAGTCTTTTCTATTAAATTTCCTGATATGGAATTTAACGCTTCAGAAATTTATTTGTTAATTATTACGGAATATTACATAATATAAAGTCAATATTAAAGTAAAATTATTATGTATAATTTATCTAGCGAATTCTTTATTTTGCGTTGCCTAGGCCTATTATGATAGTTGTTAAAATAAATGTATAGAAAATGTTTGACCTTGGTGATCAAAAGTAATTTATTGTTTTGAAATTTTTCATGGTACTGAGTCTCATAACAACCTAAAACCGAATATACTATTTTAAATAGGGTTTAAAATAAACGCAAAATATTAATATTACCATTCGGATTATATTCTGTAAGAGATTAATAACAACAACTTTCATAACAGTTCTTGTTGCTCAAATAGACAGCCTCGAACGTGAAGGTATGACGGCCTCGCAGAAGACCGGCGTTATTTAAATGTTTTGGTTAACTTTTGTTTCGTCCAGCGAGTGACTAAGTCGGCGGCCCACACATTCAGGAGTAAGCTGCTCGCCTGCAATATCTCTAATGTTGTGTATTCGTGGTCGGTCCTCACATTTTTTTTAGCCAATAACTAGGCATTTCTTGTTGTCCATCCCACCTGATGATGAATAGTGATGCTATCTTTATGGTAAACGCACTAGTTCTATACCCGCCTTAATATCATGTAATCGCTTCCTCAGATGCCTTTTTTAAATAAAAAAAGGATTGTATAGTTTTGCTTACTGTGAAAGGCGAAGTTGAAATCATGGCTGGGACTATTGTTAGGAATTAACCGTAACCGGAAAGTAGTTCGGCAAGTAATCCGGGAAGTGGTTTTTGATAAACACAAATTCAATCAAGTATTGCTCCGATGACTAATTTATACTGGACACCCCAAATAACAGCATTATTAATGCAGCATAGTGATGATATGCGAAAATTAATCATAATGAGAGGAGCTCCAGGAAGTGGCAAAAGTTATCTGTCAAAAAGGTAGTAGAAATGACAATTGGTACATGTTTATACCATAACAAAAGACATATTTCTAGCACTAATGAATTTTTGTCAAGAAGTTCTTACCATTGCGACAATTCTAGTCTTTCAGATGCTCATGCATGGAATCAAACGGGAGATAGAGCAGCAATAAACAATGGTCTGAGCCCTATTATAATTGATAATACGAATTTTGCAATCTAAGAAATGGAATCTTATGTAAGAGATGGTATGCAAAATGGTTAATTAATAGAGTTATTAGAACTGAACATTCCATGGGCAAACAAGTGAAGCAGCTTTCAAGAATAATTATGTATGGCGTAACCAGTGAATATTTAATGAGCTTACATAGATTATCATATCCACCAAATATTACTCCCCCGGTTCTAAGAAAGTTACCTGAAGTGCAAAAAGAAATGTTAACCCTATAATTTGCTTCAATACCGACACAAACGGACTAAATAACAGCATTTATGTTTCTCCAAAGACAACAAAGGAAAAAACAGTGAAGCCTTATTGAGTGATAATAAATCTGACCAGAATCAAGACATCAAACATATCTCACAAAGGACGTCTGCGAATATGCGACGAAAGCAGAGAAGAGTTAAAAAGATTTTAATTAACTCAGATACTCATCAATGGAATCAAAGTAGAACTAGAGCAGCAATGAACAACGGCCTGAAACCTATTATTATTGATAATACTAATATTGGAATGAGAAATAGAGCTTTATCTAAGAGATGGTAAAAAATTGGTTCTTCTATTGAGGCTTTAGAACCAAATAAGCCATGGGCATAAAAGTCTTTATAGAAAAAAAAATACATCATAGCCGGTATTTATTCAACGAAATTCTATGCTTCAAGTATAAATGTTGTCTGCACAATGTAATTTGAATGGATACTTATCGATTAAATTTACAGCAGTAATATTTTTACAAAGTCAATGAAGGAAAAAATGATTTAAAAAAGAAAAGTGTTATTGGATGGTACAAGAAGAGTTCAAAGTAGATACTCTAGGGCTATTAAAAAGAATTGGGAGAAAAATACAATCTCAATCTATTTCTTACAACACGATATAATTTTTTAAACATCTCCAAATATGACTTTCATCCTTCTCCGACAAATGATCGTATTTGGCCGCACTCTATCGGCAGAAAATCGCTTTACACTAAGCTAGCATATTGCAGAATTATTCTTTTTATTAAAAAAATATATTTAAACAAAAATTTATATTTATTGAAAGGCTTCAACTTAGGAGGAAATGCAGGCGAAAAGCTAGTGTTTTTTATATTTGGTAACTGTATAGAGTGATAACTGAAAAGCTTATTTCACATGTAACATACTTCGGAGTTAGTCTGGCTTTACTTTTAGAAGTTTGTAAATATACTGAATATCTGTTTCAATGTTGCTGTTAGGCAAGGTTCCTTATCTGGCTATATATGATTTGAAGTTTTGTCTTGAGCTGTGAAATATCTGCATTAGAAATATCTGTAATGGTATCTTGAAGTCTTTTCAAGCTTTGCAGTAAGCTGTTTCCGGCCATCGCAGATGATACATTCTGTATTTCACTTTGTATGCTGGTGTTTTTTTTTGTTGGAAATTATTGTAAATTAATTGCTTGTTAATAAATTTACGTTGCTTTCCGATGCAGGCTTTTATCTTCTTCATTAGATTGAATTCCGATTCAATAACTGAGGTTTGGTTTTTCCATAGATTGGACATATGTTTTTCTTTACGTTTGATGGTTTCGATATGTTTAAGATATTGTTCTGAGTAGTGAAAGGTCGGATAGATACCCACATTGTTGAAAAGATATAGGCAACGGGGCGTTGTGGCATGAGCGTTTTAATGTTATTTCACTAAAGTTCATCATAGTATTTTAACTCCTGATATGTCATATGACACCCTGCTATACAGCTGAGTTACTATCATATGTATGACATGAAAAACAGTAACACAGTAACACATGTTTTTAATATAATTAGTTATCTTATTGTATCTATGCACGTCCAATAAGGTTACATACACAATAAGGCTCCGTTATCTCTGATGAGCTGTACTCTAGATATAGGATCAAAATATAGGGTTTGATTTGTTTGGTATTTGGTAAATGCTATGCAATGCTTGCGATTGTCAAAAGTGTCACAAAAATAATAATGCTGTAGCGACTGTTGGTATTGATGTTCTCATTGGTTTCCTTCTCTTTTCATGTGTTTTTTTACAAATTTTTTCATCGACATCTGGTATTGTTCTGGATCATCTTGGTTCATCGGCAATACTGGTAATTTAACAATTGGTTTAAAATGTGACGACTCATCGCCAGGGTGCGCTTCATCGTAAAACCACCGTAAATTGGTTAAATCATGGTTGTGCAGTAAAATATAAGCATTTCTCCATCTATCGCCCACACCTAAATATTGTTTTTAGAATGCAATTTATTATATTTTCTTTAATAAACTAGGTCGTTGTGAATTTGCGATTGTTGAAAAATTGTGATAATCAGCAACTTTGCGCGCCGTAGCTCGTCTAAAATGAGATAGGTTCGACGTACTTGCTTCTTGAATGTTAATGTTCGTGTTTTCTTCTGGTTTTCAATGGTAGGTAGACAAAAAGTTTTTTTAAATGTTTAGGACACATTTTGCCCCAACGTTCTCTAGTCCTAAACTAAGGAAGGCTTGTACTATGGGTGTAAGATAACTGATGGACATACTTAAAGCTGTTTTTATTTTGTAAATAAATTCATGTTATAACATGAATAAAAAAACGCCCAGACATTGAAAAATCACCTTCATCACTCAATATTTTTCCAGTAGTAAAGATCGAACCCACACCTTCTGTCTCAAGAGGCAGGTGCACTACCCACTACGCCAATGGGGTCACTAAAAAATTTTACCTTTTGCATTAATTGTGATAAGAGCTGAGCCTCAATTAATTCTAATTTAGGGATGATGGATATGTCTTTGTTAAGGGGCGCTAATCGAGCTTTTGCCGCTACGATTGTGATGGTTGTCTGCGCGTCTTTTTGAGCTTCGCAGTAAATAAAAGTGGCCTAAGCTGTGTTTGAAGCATCGCAAAAGCATTGTAATTCTACATTTTGGTTTTGGTCACTCGTTCTGAGCCATCTTTTTACTTCAATGGTTTAATGTCTTGCAATTCGTTTCTTAAACTTTTCCATTTGTTTCCAATACTTTCAAGTAGATCGTGGTACCAATTTAAGTTGGTTAACCAAAATATTCTGAAAAAGTATTTTCATGGTAGTACTTAATAGTGTAACGGATCAAATAACTTTGATTACACTATACTCGTTGATAGTCTATTGAGGCCCTTCTTGTTAAAGTCAACCGGACGGGAGGCGACTAATTCTTCAAAGGCATTTTATGCCTCCTTTCGGGAATTGAATTTTTTCCCGCTAAAAGGTAGTCCACATTTTGGAAAAAGTTGGCAGATGCTTTGAAAACAATATGCAGCTTAGTAGTCGTTGCCAACGCTTGTGTCACCGCATGGTGAGGTAAATAACAAGCCAATGTCTTATTAATGGTGGCTGATGTCATATGATTTAAATTAACATAATTATGCATAAAGTTCTGCTATTCCGTTTTTTAACTCAACGTTTTTCAAAGTTGAGCCAAAGGTGTGGTATCGCCTAGCTTTTGTGTTAATTGTTGTTTAAAGGGAAGTCGTACTTCATACCCTTCATCTTGACATCGTTTCTTAGTTGATAAAAAAAATTGTAAACATTCA